TCCTGATATATAAAGTAAGATTTGTAGTCTGTAGTCCTATATATTTTTTACATTATTCTAGCCCTCAATCGTGTAGTGTCAGAATCATGGATTTTTTTATAGACCTACTCAATTCTACAATTGCAATTATGCTCTATACTGCCATCATAATTTATTATTTTTTATTCCGGCATTATAATGAATTTCACAAGGATGCACTTCCTTATGCAATGTACGGTAGGCTATAATACCTATTGAAACAAGCCGATACATACAAGGGAGTCGATACAAAGCTCTTTGGACAAACTTTGTTATTGAAGGCGAGTTGAATGGCAGTGGTGCCGTATTAACCTACAGCCATAAAATCGGTGCATGTTCTGGTAGTGCTACAAGTCTTTTCGTAAAGGACACAAAGCATAGGCCCAGTGAACACAATTGTCTCATGTGCACTTTAAAGAACACAGTCAATCTTTCGAGACTAGTACATGTAGGCCTAGGTGGTTGAACCACTGATCCATGCTGGATATAATGTGACTCTTCTGTACAATCTTCCACACCTCGAGCTCTTGAGATGTTGGTGCGCTATAAATGTAACTAATATAGAATACATCTTATTATATTACATTCCCGTCCCTCTACGCCATCAGAGCACAATAAGAATGGGGATATATGGGTTCCCCCTAGGCCCCTATCCATCCATCCGGGTCAGAGGAGGACCCGGAACTAATGGATATGATATTCACTTCCCTGCAAATGTGAAGCGCTCAAAGGCTTTGTTAAGGCATTAAGCGCTATATAAGAACGACATATTATTATTATTATTATTATTAAAGGCGTACTACTTTTGAATTGCATAGTGTGTCCAGTGGCGGCTCTTAGATGTGTATAAGAGACAGCCCCCCCCACCGCTGGCGCCACCACTGAGTGTGTCCCCATCCCAAAAACTAAACCAAGCTAATAATATTTGAATTCTAGAAGAACTAAATGCGTCTCTTTAAATCGAAGCCATTTCAGGTTGTTTCATTGTTCTATGCAGTGCGTAAATTTTGTTGTGATAAGCTAAAGTGCATTTACTTAGCTCAGTCGGCTTAGACTTACTTAGCTCAGACTCAGTCGGCTAATCTGGTGGTAGCCACTGTGTGTGCGCTGAACCGTGGAGATCTCTAGGTCCCCGGTTCAATTCCCATCGCTACCTCTCCTTGTGTTTCAGCTTAGGGCTGAAATACAAGTTACAATACGGTAGCGCACCGTCTTTCGGATGAGACGTTTAAGCTGTTGGTCCCGTGTGCATTTATGGCCCATGTGCACGTTAAAGAACGCAGTACACTCTTCGGAAAAGAGTAGGGGTTGTCTCCCGGTGTACTGTTCAATCACCACCAGAAGGACCCCACTGGAAGTAAGTCTTCTTCTAGACTTTCGTGGGCTATCCTTGGTGTTTACACCGAATTATCCGTTCCATTCCATACTTCTCTTTCTCCCTGAAAGCAAGTCCCATGTTGATTGTGACATACGTTGTTACACATGGTTAAACACAGTTCATCCAGAGCTTCTCACCTGTTGATGAACTATTACTGTATTGACGCAGTTTGGCCGTGTGATTAAGAACTTAGAGTTATTATAGTAGACAGCTCCACGTTAAGACTCAGCTAAAGAGCTACAGTAGCTTTTCAACTGTGAATACTGGAGGTAATAATATTCCCTATTATTATTTCTTATTTCTTGCGTTGATACACTCTTCGCAAAAGTGAAATAAATACTGAAATCTATACCCAAATATTCGTATACAGGTAATTACAATTCATTATTTTTTACAAAATCCTAACTAAGTGACAGTAAGTGACATATCGACTAAAGTTCCAATCCTTGTGTTCAATTGAGTACGTTAAAAAGCACAGCTCATTTTCAAAACGAACTGCAAATTGCAATATAGACGTTATTACAATTTGTACTGACGACGGTTGACAGCAATACTTTATAGCACCATGAGTTATTCATTTGTTAGGGTTTTCTAACCTGAACTTTGGAGTTTCAGGACAAGTAGTTACGTAGGTGAAAAAGAATTTCAGATGATTGAAAAAAGAAAGTGGCTTTGTGTGTAGGCTTATTCAATTATTAACAATTTTCATGGGTTACTAATAAATTATAATAATTAGTAATCTCGGAATTGTCATTATTAATAATTATGTAACGTTCCAATATAGGCCTAAGTGGTGGCTAAAAGGTTTGTGGTTCTGTGAATAAAAACATTAATAATATAAAATAAATTATTTAAAAACATTGTATTTTAAGAAATTGTATATGATTTATAATATTTAAAAAATAAACAACTTTTAAAATAGTGCCATGTGAATTATTCTGTACACAGCGCAATTATGAACACGGGATAAACTACATACCGTATGCCTATGTTCCCATTCGAAAGACGAGTCAAAATACGTCTACCACGCGAGATATGGCATCACCTGTGAAAACGTGCGCCAAACAATTACACTTACTTCTCTTTCTCTCTTTTACTCGCTCATTCTTTACTATAGTAGTACACTACTACTACTAGTTACTGTAGTAATAGTAGTTTATTATTTAGTAGTGAATTTACCAATGTTCGCAGTGGTTCAGTGTAGGCTAGACACTTATTAATTGGCGGGTTTTTCTAGATGCTGCATACGCAGCAGATGACCACAATACTGGTGCGGCACGTCCAATTCATTTAGTGAGTGTCTGTATGTTCATCGGAACATTTCTGAACTTGAATTCTATGTGGTGCCAACTTGACTGGGCATTTAAATACTATTTTTACCAGGTAATCGCTGAAGCTTCTATAAAATTGAGACAGATTTTTTTCAACGCGACAGTAAATATAATTACTTAATACCTACTGGAATTAAGTGTACCTTCAAAGTTAAATGGCTTTCTGTAATCGAAGCTCTGGGCGAAATACATGTATCTTGTTTGCAATCAATGCTTTAATCAGGCACAACACTTAATTTACTGACTATTAATGAGATTTTCCAGGAGAGAAAATTTTTAATGAAAATGATGTTTTAAAGGCTATTTTCATTTTTGATAGAAGCGAAACAGACATTCGAAGAATAACAAAGGCGACCGCTCACCAGTCCGCGCGTTAAACTGAGGTTACCTCTTTTCAGCCTTTAACACTTCGCGAATGCACCTTTCAGACGAGGGTTTTTGTTGAAACTATATTAAAACATGCTTAAATCATAGAGGAAATATCCTCCATGCTTAAATACATTGCATTCGGACCTAAATTATATTCGGTTTTCGGCAATGGTTCATAATTACCATTAATTACGGTACTATCACTAACAGGAAAAAAAATAAAAATAAAAATAAAATATCTTAAAAATGAAAAGAAATAAAAATTGAATACAGAGAAGCGATTCGAACTCACGACCTTTGATTCCTTAGAACATATTGTTAACCGACAGTGCCATCCATGAGACATGTGGTAATGGCAGTGATGTACAGTCCTTGCTGAAACCCCTGGTTTGTTTTGTAGGTGTATGGGCACCCTGGGTTCCATTTTTAAAAAAGGATCATGAACGTTTGTTGGAAATCACCTCTAGTTTATGTGTACAAAATTTCCTGCACGTCCGTTCAACTACATATAGGCTTATCAATATGTGATATGATTTAGTCAAGTCGGTTTAACTGAAAAAAATATCAAAATAGGTTACAATTAATGTTTGCCTACTTGCTTCATATTTTTCTTGTGTGTGTTGTGATATGGACTTTTTACTGAAATTGAAGACTGAAGTTAATTGAATTGAATTGAATATCATGACGAAATTAAAATATCTGAATGATTCTAAATGTAAATTGAATGTCATATCCATGTACAAAGCTTAGATTTATGTACCGGTACCTTAGACTCATCAAATTTACTGTAGGTCAGTAAAACCATTTAAAAAGATTTCTTTAAAATTTAATTTGACTTCAAGTATCGTACCGTACATTGCGTGGGTTTTTGAAATGTTATGCTATAGACCCTTAAGGTCTTGACTGTTCTAATGTGCTCCAGAAACCACTTTAAGATAAATTGGACCGTATACTTAGGGCACAGTATGAAGGCCGTTCGGAGAATATTTTATGCAGAAAATTGTATTTATTTTAGTGCCATATACAGGTCTCCCTCCAATTAAAGACCAAATTCCAATTAAAGGTCAGTGTTCTGTGGTCCCAAAATTAACAAATGTCTTTTAATACTTGTAATTCTAATCAGAGACCAAAGCTGCTGAAGATTATGTAAACCCCGGTCCAAAAGTGGTCTTTAATTGGAGGGAGACCTGTAATACAGTACAATGCTTTTATATAATATTTATTAAGCCTATTAAACGATAGCGATAATTATAATGATTATGGTCAACATTGAAACTTGGAAAATTATTATCGACATTGAAATATCGGATTAGACTGCTTTTGATTGATTTTTCGATCTTGATATCGGTAACAGGCCTATATTGGTTTCTGTGGGCTGTTGTGCCTGAAACGAGTTGACGAAACGACCAATATAACCCTGTTTACCCACAATTCCTCAGCCTAAATCCACAGGCATCGTTCGTATAACGTGACGTCAAGCCACAGATCTACCCGGCTTGGGATTCGCAGGTGTATGGAAAACGTTAATGATCACTTTTATTTTGATAGTTAAATTAGGGTAAGTATGACAGTCTGCGGTTTAACATTTAATATCCATTTTTTACCTTGAAATTCTTTAGATTTCCTGCCAGTGAAAATTTTGCGACCATAACAGGTCTACTTCATAACCTACCAGCCAACGCACTGCGTTTGTTGATCTATACTACTTAATGATAATTACACACGCTTTCCGGTTATTACAAAAACTTAAATTTTGGAAATGATTAATTACTAATATTTTTTTTCCCTGTAAAAGTTATTTTAAAATTCATAAGATGCTTCACTTCTTTTCAAAGAATTATTACCGCTTCAATTACAGTCTTTCTGTAGCTATAATGTAACAGATACCTTTTATATTCTTACAGTTTAATACAAGGTGATTTGCTGCGCTGAGTAGTGATCCCAAGATAAATTTAGCATGATGCTATGAGGGGAAAATGTAGGCGTATCTGTTACTGGGAATCCAAGGAAAAATATATTTTTATACCAGTCTCGAAGGCTCAGCTGGTAGAACAACTGAATGGTAATCGGATGGAAAGGACTTCTGGTTCAAACACAATTATCTATAATTAACATACTATATTTTAAATACAGTATACTTCTTTCTTATGTATATGTACCGTACTCAAAGCAGTGTGTTCTCTGTACACTCTAAAATGGATTCTTCACAGTGCTGTGTAAATGTGGCTAAATTCTCTATCTTAACTTCTTTAGACTAGAATTTGTGTCATTGGATGCGCGTAACGAGGTGTGAATATCAATAATATCCGGATGTTTGTCCAGGTAATGCCGACAAAAGCCTTCATCTTAGCAAAACATCGTGGACGCTTACCTCGGGTTTTCAAACTGGTCGAATAGTTTTACCGTAGTGCATTAAGGTATTGGAAGCTGATTTTTTTTAGTTTATCCGTTTTTTGCTATTATTTTTTTTATGTCGTCGCGAGTCGCAGTGAAATATATACAATCAAGGATGACCAAATCCAGATGTTAAAACTATAGGGGGCGTTTGGTTTACTGTATGATATTTGATGACTCCAAATTACGACTCCCTAACGGACAGAGTCTTTTTAGCTTCTTTAGCGACAAGACGCGTTTGTGGTTACCAACAAGTAATGCTGAACGCATTGTTCACGCAGTGGTGACAGATGACAAGAAACTGGTAATCAAATGCATCGATATGTATACAGTATTGAGGTAAATGTCGCGTCTAATGACTTTTATATCTAGCATTATTATTATTATTATTATTATTTTTTTTTTTTTTTGGAATAAGTTAATATTGACACTTCTACTTGATTACTTTACTTTCATACGTGTTATTACTTTACTTATGTGATCCTCATCTTCTATGTGCTGGAGCCGGAAACCTAATTGGCATACTTAAGTGTTTGTTGAGTTTTTTCTTTTGATTTTGTAATGGCTTTGGCTTGCCTAAAGTCTATGAGTAACATCTTTATAAAAATGTTGTGTAGGTAGTGTGATAAGAAGAAATAGACTACCATGTGGTGAATACAAAATGCTCCTTACAGCATAAGCATAGAAGTAGGTAGAATAGGCCAACCCCATCGGTGCCTAGTGTCTGAAGTATTTAGCGAATGTATGGTTTTAAGATTTTCTATTATTTACTTTAATAATAATAAGCTATGTTTCTTATGTAGGCTAACTATAGCAGTCAACCACTGATGCCTGTGGACAGGTTAAAGCTTGTCTACTTCTAAACTATATGTATATGAATCGATCGATCGATTGGTCAATCTACCAATAAATCGATCGATCAGTCCAGAAATCAATCAATTTATCATCACCAATCACTTATATACCTATATCGCTATAATATTAACGGTAAGGACGATAACAGTTAGTTCCCGGCATGTTTCTTAAGCGTGTGAGTAGGCCTATCAATTGTGGGCCCGCATGAAGTAAGGATTTAAGAGTAATATTAAGGGGTAGTGACTTTTTCAGTGAAAATCATGATGTTAGGGAATTGAAAACTGGACCATAAAACCGGAACAGCGGACGACTTATTCATTAAAACGTAGTAGGCCTCTGTACATTGTTTACAACATGTTAAGCGACCTGGCAAAGCAATGAATAATTGGAACGCTTGGGAATAGCCCACTCCAACAAACATACGCATCAGTTAATATTGTCGGTGGCCCATGGATTTATTTCAGTATAAACTATGACTTTCCTAGTATTATATTAATTAAAATACCTGAACAATTTACTTTGTAGAATATAACATAGATTACAGTATAGACATAGCAGATTGTTATTCGTGTTACAACGGAAAGAAAGTGGGCTTTGATCTACTGAAGTTGCATTGTTTCAATTTCAAATCAGCTTTCGAGATAATTTCAATAGTTATTGCAAATTACCGTTAAACATTAAACCATGATTAAACAGTAGAATCTCTAAGCTGGAGCAAAAATATCTATCCAATACAGAAGACACATTGGACACCGCATTGGCATAGAGTTTAAGAGCATCATGCGTAAGCGAAATGACTTATTTTTTAGTCATCCATCTATTCTTGTGTCGTTCGTTTATTATTACAGTAGATATAAAAGCTCTGTACCGAAAATATAGCCTACCCAGACAGCATTGACAGATTATCAGAAGACTACGCCTCTAATACTATATTCTTCCTTTGTTATATAATCCCTAAGCAATTTCACAAGATTACCAGGAATACCAATTTCATTTATTTATTTTTATTTTTTATTTTTATTTTATTTAAAACATCTTTAGGCAGGATAACATATACCGCTTACCGCTGTTTTACAATATGGTCCTGCAAACACATAGTACAATAACAACAACAAAAAATAACCAGCACAGTACAATAAAATAAACAATAGTAAAAACTTTGGTGGAAATCTACCGGTATCCCCCGCCGGACACCAACCCGGTACTTCTGAGTCAAGGTTTCGGGGCCAGGAATTACGGCTCAAGGTTAAGCTTAACTACAACTTAACTACAATATGGTAAAAACTATCCCCCGCCGGACACCAACCCGGTATTTCTGAGTCAAGTTTTCGGGGCCGGGATTACAGGGTAGGACAAATACTGTACAATTACTTAAATATATAAAAATGGTAGAAACTATCCCCCGCCGGACACCATCCCGGTATTTCTGAGTCAAGGTTTCGGGGCTGTTACAACTTTTATCTTAACTACAAACCTAACTAAACAATGGTAAAAACTATCCCCCGCCGGACACCATCCCGGTACTTCTGAGTCAAAGTTTCGGGGCCGGGATTAAATGTTAAAAGTATAGACCAAGAAAATATATAAGGAAATGAATTGTGATAATCAGAAAAAGTGTTTCTTATAAGTAATTTTGAATAAATTAAAAGAATGACATTCTTGATTTCTGATTGGGATTTTGTTCCAAACTTTTGCTCCAGAGAATTTTAAAGAGACATTCATTACAGAGCAATTTGGAATTGGGGGGATAACATTAAGCGAGTGAGCGTAGAATATCCATGCCGGTCAACAACCATTTCTATATCATTACATAGGCGGGAAGACGCAACACCATTTGTACATTTGTACATTAAACATGCTAGGGCGTAATCTCTACGTTCATCAAAAAGTTT